TTGGATATCAGAATATTCAATACTTAAACAAATTTGAAGCAAAACAAAAATATTCATTAAAAAGAAGCCGGTCATTAAAGACCGGCAAAATATTCAGAGCCCCGGCCCCCTGGCCGGGTAAATACAAACAAACGGCACGCAGGCCGTGGAAAGAAGACATAAAGCTTAAGAAGGGGGCAGATCTTCAATATTAGCAGATGCCGCCTGGTCAGCACTCTTCTTGCTGGACTCGGCTTCAGCTGCATCCTTCTTTGATGCATTACCCTCAAGCGGCACAAGCGCCACTACCGGCTGCTCCTCCTCCTCCAACGCCTCTTCCTCAGCAGCCGCCAGGATCTCTTGATTATATCTATCAGAACACTGGCGGTACGTTTTTTCCCATGAGGCAAAGTTGGCATTGGGGAAGAGGCGGCCCCAAGTCATGCGTTGGATTTGAGCAGAGTCTTCCATCATCTCCCGGACCAGCTCTTTCTTTTCTTGCTCGGCCTTTTTCGAGAGCTCCTGAGTAAGACTCTTCTCCTGGGTCACCAGGCGTACCTTTACGCTCGCCAAGGATTTCTCCAAGGTTTCGTATGAGGACATCTTTTGGCGAAGAGGTCTCAGCTCGGCCTTGAGGTTGTTGATGGTCGCCTCCAGCTCGCTATTCCTCTTCTCGGCCGCCTCTAACTGAGCCCGGATAGCGGCGGTAGCCTGCGCCTGATAATAAAGAATATCAATGGTCAGAACTTCATTTTGGGCAATTTGAAACATTGCCTTATCACAGTCAGAGGCGGCCATAGCTTTTGCAGCCTTTACCTCTTTGTTCTTCCGGCCAAGCGGCTTGCGAAGGCCGTTCACTCGGAGCAGGGCCTAAGTAAAAAGGGGAACAGGCGTCAGTTTCCAAACAAAAAAGAAAACAGGCATCCTGGAATTCAAATACTCAAAAATATGCTAAGTTTACCTCAGCAAGGACCCCTGCAATCCCGTCTAGGTCAAGGGTGCCGACACCCCTGACCGCCTCCCTTTCAGCTGGAGGAACGGCCTTGATCATAGACTTGGCCACCTCGACCAAGTCAGGCTCCTGAGGGCCGGCTGCATCAAGCATAAACAAACGGATTAGACCTAGTAAAGGAGGGAGCAAGTCTAAAATTTACAAGGACAATTTCATACTTCTAGGTGGCCCAGCTGGAGTTTTAGAAGAAGTGGCCGGCTGTTTCTCAGCCGCCACATGTTTCCTGGTAGAACCAGGAGAGCTCGCAACAGTCGTCTTCCGGGCCTTGGGGTCCGGCTGTTGGGAAGAAGAAGCTCTTGGAGCGCCCGTCTGAAAAAGAAGAAAAGAGTCAGTATATGCATAAACACAACTCCAAAAAGAGGGTGAAAGGTTCGAAGCCCACCAAGGGTGCCCCCTTGTTAGGGGAGTCGGTTGAAGACTGTTGCATGATGGAGGCCCGCAACATGGCCGCCGCAGTCTTGGGAGGCGGTAATTTTGCTCATGGCGTCCGCTGCAAAAAACAAATAGCAAAGTTAATAAAAGTCATAACAAGAAATGCATGGAACAACAGAGTATTCGACAGGTCGGCTACCTCTTGAACACCGACTGCTGAGGCCACAGGCGGCCAAAAAGTACTCGTCGTAGAGCCATTTGAAGCTCGGGACGCAGTGCAGGGGTACTTGCTCTCGTACCCCTGAAGTAGAGTTCACCTTCGACTCTACTTTGAAGAGTCCTTTATCTAGGATCTCTTTCTTAGCCTTGGGGGAACAGGCGGCATGCTGCGGCCGCCTGCAAGAAGGGGCGGATTCCTGTTCCACCTGTTGAAGCGCTTGTTCAGCTCTGTGTCTGAACTCTCAATGATAAGGAAGGTGCTCCGCCAGTCCTTCCATTTGTTTGCTTTACCTCTCGTCATGAGGTAGCCCCTGTGGCTCGTCAATTGATACCAGCCGGTACCGCCTGCCTTAGGGGTCCGGCTGAGGTAGTTCATGTGGGCGAAAGCCTCGAAGTTCGGCTCCACCCCGTGCAGTTCGCACCCGGCCACATAGCCGAGTACGTTGACCCAGGAGTTCGGGGCTAACTGCCATAACCCCAACTCATACCCATCCAAGATCCGCTGAACAGCCGGATGTAGTGGGAAGCGCAGCCCAGCCTTGATGGCCGCCTCGTAGCAGCCAAAGCAGGCGCCATCATAACTGGTACCAGCCGGCCAGACGACTGTGTCTTCTGGATCCGGCACGAACACTAAAAAGCCGGGGCCCATTGTGTGGTTTGCGATAAAGCTCTCCACTTTCTCTTACATGGCTGTGATCCGGCCCCGAGGTACCATGTAGTAGTAGGGGGTATTTTGCTCTCGGTGAGAGGCGGATGGCTCCGCCCAATCGTCCCCCTTCTCAACTGCGTGAGAAAGCCTCGCCTCTTGTAGGCGGCTGTTTTTCTCTTCTGTGTCCAGAGAAGCATGGCCAGAAGAGCTAGACTCGGAATCGTCCTCTGACGAGTCCGAAGAGGACGACTTCTCCCCTCTCCCGGAGGGGCCCGCCTCCCGCCTCCTCTCCTTTAAAAGGAGCAGGAGAGAATGTAGAATTGTCAACTGTAAAATGGGAAGGGGTCACTTTGACTCCTCCCTCAGAACTGCCGGCTTTCAAGCCGCTTTGTTTCACTTCCACATCTAGCGCCTGGTCAGATGTTTCACTAATCGGCACCCTGTGGGAGGAGCCGTCTGAGTTTGAGATCCTGGCAGTCTTTTTTGTTCTGGCCATCATGCTCTGCATAGACACAGATACAGTCGGACTTTGTATAAAGGGCAAAGATGGGTCCAGAAAAGGGCAGGCGGCACTCCTAGTCCTAGATTCAGCCGTCCCCGGTGACCGGCTGATCACTAACCTAGGTCGTGTCGTGTGCTTCCGTGGTGCCATTTCAAAAAAGAATAAAGTAAAGAGAAAATTAAGAGTAAGAGAACTGACGGTTACCTGAACGAGTGACGATTGATGAAGTTCTGAAAATCCTTTGCAGTCGGCTTGTCAGAGCAGGCGGTAGGCAGAAAGGGTCCAAAATGTCAGAGCAAGTTCAGGGGTCCGAATGTTCTCTCACAAAGTTTTCAAGTGTGAAAATGACCGAAGTCAACACTCCTTTATATAGGCGAAGTGAGAAGGCGAAGGGTCACTTCTAGAATTCAAAATTTTGGCGGGAGAATCTCTCGGCCTCTCGCCGAGTGACACCTGTAGCAGGTCGTCGCCTGTTACAGGGCGATACCTGTCACAGGTAACACGTGACCAGTCACGTGCCACCTGTGAGGGGAAAATGATTAGGGGATTTTGCTCCCACCAATTGGAATGCGCCACGTGGGCCAATCAGGTCCTGCCAAGTGTTCCCCAGTTGAACCTCTCAGGGCTTGCCACGTGGCACACGCTTATTCGTCCGCCTTGGACCTATTATGTCATGACACGTGGCATACTCCATGCCTAATGGAGAAGTCGGCCACCCAGGCCCAACTTCCGAGGGAAGCCCAATCAGCCCAAGGTTAACCTAAACCTAGATTGGCACGTTTCCCGAGGTTATAAATACCTCCCTTAATCCTCATTAAGGGAGGGGACGCGAACAACGCAGATTACACACATTAAACTCTCTCACCTAGAGAGACCCAATCACTTTAATTTCCGCATTAATTACTCCTTAATCAAGTACTAACTTGACCGTCGGAGGCGGATCTCCAATCATCCGGAGCATCCGTTTGTTTTGCAGGTACAGGCGTCCGGTTCCAGTCTCGGAATTGTAACTCTCCCGCAGGACATCAGAAAACCCCGAAACAGTAACCTAGGTATCAATGTAGATTTCCAGAGAATTTATTTAAGGAACAAAACATTGTGACATCTTTAAGGTATAAAAGCTACGCACACCATGTATTTTCTCGAACTAAATCCAATGATACATATTTCTACCTTAACGGAAATACAAATCACAACCATAACTCGCATGCATTTCACATCTTTCTAACTTCATACAGAGTATACCCTTCGTTTTAAAATACTTGTTCCGCTCTCTTTTTCCGGCCGATTTTAAATACTTGCTCCATTTTCTTTTATGGAAAGCTTTTATAATAGTTAATTCATTTCTCACACTTAATGGATCCAACATAATACTCTATTTCCTCCTATTCTTCCACTACTTTTGTTTTTTTTACAATTTTTTATTTTCTGAACTACCCCACTACCTCCGTATTTATTACTTTATCCAATTTCTCCTATAACTCCGCGCATGGAAAAATGGAGCAAGTATTTAAAAACGGAGAGAGTACCTTATAACTTACCTAAACCCGTATACGAACATTTCTTAGGATGTTATTTTTATCACCCGAATTCCGTTTTATTACCAAATCAAGGATTTCGTCTAAAGTAGAAAAAAAGAAAAACAAAGCAAGCAAGAAAAATATGGAGGGAAATGAGTGAAGCAATAGTAAGCTAAAAGCGAAAGAATAACTGCCTAAACGGTGGACTGAATCTTCGCCCTATTTCATCATCTCCTCTATTTTATATCGCAGGCGTCCCCGGCAAGCAATATTCCTCATTTTTCTCTCTCCTCCTTTTTTTTTTTGTTTTATTTATTTATTTTTTATATCTTCACGAATTCAAATACTTTTATCCAATCATCATTCTCCATTTTCTTTAACCACCCTTGTTTCTTTTTTTATTCATCTTTCCCTTTTATTTTTCTCTCTTTTTTTGTACACAATATATATAATACTTCTTGGCTTGTAAACTTCAGTTTCCTCCTTTTTCAAGTTTTCTTAATTTTCTTTTTAACCCCCATAAAATTAATTTCATTAATATTCAAAGATACATTCTACACTATACCTGCAATTTCCATTGAATTTTCTGTTCAATGTGATTGACCTCTGTTTTCATTTTTCTGAATATAAATTTCTGGGTTCTGACTTCTTCAATCACTCGTTTTTTAGTTACAACCTTTGATCATTTCCAGTCATAGAAATCAATTTCTTATTCATCATCATTCATACTCTAATTTCTTGATATAGTTCACGATATTTCGTAACGCAATCCGAAATTGATCATCCAAAATGTTAGGAGATTTCATCGGCAGAGGACTTTTGTAAGTAATTTGTTTCTGTTCTTACTTGAATTTTCGATTACATTAGTTTGATTTGTATTCCGATTCTAGAAATTTTGTGATTCAAATTAAACCGTCTGATTCAAGAATTTGCGATTGTAGTATGGTATTGGGGTTCGCATACCCAGCATTTGAGTGTTTCAAAACGGTGGAAAGGAACAAAGTTAACATCGAAGAACTCCGGTTTTGGTGTCAATATTGGTACGTTTTTTTTGTACTATTAAATTATTTTGATGATGATGAAAAAATATGTAGAGTTTGATCATAATTTTTTTTTTTTATTTGTGTTGATAATAATTGGATATATTGTGTTAATTGATTGATAATTATTGATGTGAAATTGGTATAATTCTATCATATCTTTTAATTTAACAATTATTTGTTCTATTGAATATTGATTATTAAATTCTCTGTTACATTTTCCCGTACTTGGTTGCTTCAAGTTTTCATTAATTGTATACAATTTTTATGTAATTGGGGTTCAAAATTTCATACTGAAGTAGTATTATTATTAAAATTTCGTAGTTCAATTGCACCATGTCTTGTACTGTATACAACAGGAGTATAACGCACATTACAAAATGATTAAGTGATTATCGATTCTCACCCCGCCCTTGTGACTCGGTAAACACACACCAACAACAACAAAAAAAAATGTTTAGCCGTTCCAGTTATCTAGCGTTATTGTTTATCCGATTATGTATTTCTAAAGTACAATTTAAAATAAAATAGTACAATATGTAAAGGATTTGATCAAATCATATTTATTGATATTGTTTATAGTTAGCAATCCCTTGATTTACTCTTTAGATTGATAGTCAAAGATATCCCTTATTCTTAGCTAATGTAACTAGACAAGTACTCTAATGTATCTAGTCGTATTATATTGCTTACTCATGTACTATATATACTCATGGAATCACATCAATATAATTAAGCTTTCCAACATTCTCTTTTCTCATAACTCTATCACAATATCCTTTGTTTATTTATTTAATTTTAAGTTTATAAAGTATTGAACAAATTAATTATATAATTAAAAAAAATAAAAAAGTGGGGGAACGTGGGAGAGTAATTTTGGGGATCATGTGATGAATGAGAGAGTTATGGGTGTTTTAGTTGGCTGGCCTAAACTTTGTAGGTAGTTGAGGTGGTCAACTGCTCTATTTCACAACTCACACTAACTTCCCTTACAATTATACCCACTAAGGTGATAAACATCAATTTCTGGGCATTATATGTCAAATTTTCAATTTATTTGAGTAAAATATCAATATCCAGTTATACTTGGGCCAAACTTTAGCTAGTAGAGTACCAAAACCACATAATATCTACTACGGGGTAATTTTTTTGGTCGTTAATTTATGTAAGTTTAGATAAGTGCTACGTAGCATTAAGCTCTTTTGAACCAATAATAAACATAGAAAAAATTGAGTTTATGACAACGAAGCCTTAATCATAGTGAGAATTGACAACAACTCGGCCCCTAAACAAAGATATTGGTTTGATATGGATATGTTGGGGAAGATTACAGAATTAGCATTTTCTTGCTTGGCTTAAAAAGGCAGTAGTACTAAGAACCTAAGGCACTTTTGGACTCCATAGATAAGAATTACGCTAATCGTAGTAGCAAACAACACATTATACTTGTCGTGACACAATTGTATTGCTTGTATATTTTATTTTAAGCAATCAATCAAGACTTGTTGATTACTCTTAAGTAAGATCAGAACTTGAAATACTAGTAGGTACTGCATCTTTCACTACTTTTTAGTATCAGGTTTATAATGCTAACAATATTGTACATAAGGTAATCATGTTATTGTTCACTGAGTCCTTGATTGTTGGTCTTTCTGTAGGATCATTATTGCTGTACTTTCAGTTTGTGAGAGGTTTGGTGATATATTCATATCATGGTAAGCAGAGGTTTCTCCTTTACAGAGGAAGTATGTCAAAATTGTCTCTAATTTACATGTTCTTTCAATTGCTACTAACATGATTTCGTTTTTGCTTAAAGGGTGCCATTATATGGAGAGTTGAAGTTGGCTTTTATTATTTACCTTTGGTATCCACAAACAAAGGTAATTAATCAACTAATGCTTACCCCTGATGTGTAGCTCTGATGTTAAGAGTGTAACTGACAGAAATGTGGTACGATGCAGGGAACTTCTTATGTGTATGAGAGCTTATTAAGGCCATTTGTGTCGAAACATGAGACAGACATTGACAAGAACCTGCAAGAGTTGAGATACAGAGCTTGGGATGTAGCCATTTACTACTGGCAAAACTGCACTGAATTGGGATCATCAGCAGTTTTCAATGTGTTTGACTACATAGCCAACCAGTCTTCCAGGCTTAGAGGCGGCAGCACTCAGGTATATCTTTCTCAATTTCTGTCGCCATCTAAAATAGGCCCACTAAAATTGTTCCTGAATCATACATACCTCAGCTAAGGTCGAATGCCTCGTGAAAGAAGTCATAATTCACTATAATGTCTATGATCAACTGTTGTATGATGTATGCTAATTTACTTCTTGAAAAGTTAGAATTTGGACCCAGTAATGATTAATTATATAGCATACTGAATCCTTTAAATCATTCAGTTGTCTATGTGTCTCTCGCACTCTCGTTGTCATAGCGCTGTCTTTAATTTTTAGGCAAGTGAAGCAATGAATTGTGATCATGCGAATTTAGAAACGTGCATCTCACAAACATATAAAAAAAGGAGCAAATGTTTGTGATTATGTAAAGTAGTGTATATGTTCTTTTTACCTTTGTATATACTCTAGCAGCATTATAAGTAAGTCAATGCTCGCAACAAAAAAAATAAGTAAGTCAATGCACATTGGATCCCACACTAAATAAGTGCAAAAGGGAGACAAATTTCATGTATTCAAATATTAATCATGAGTTAAACCTATAACACTAACACCTTACAAACACACACTCACTTTATTTTTGCTGAGCATTGATTTGTTATTTGGCACATTGCAGAAAGATGATCGGAAACGACGAGACGGCAGGGGCAGCCCACCACCACAACCACCATCAAAAGGGTCCAGCATATGGCCTCTCCGACAACGAAAATCAAAGCCTGAATCACCAACTGCCTCGCCACTACACCCGAACCATCGAGAGGAACAGCCAGCACCATCAGCACCTCCCCTTCCAGCTCCATTTCCCAGTTTGTTTAAAAATGAAGCCCAACATTCCAAGTCCAAACTGGTCCAAATGAAACTTGAAGAGGCCCAAACTGAATACATCTACGTTCAAGAGGTTCCGGAAGAAGCCCATTCCAAAGGCCCAGAAAAAGAAAAGACCAAGCTTAGCCCGACCCGTTTAAAGTTTAGGCGATCATAATCATAACCCATTCAATGATCACCTAATCGGCTAATCAAACACCATTTTTGACATTTTTACCCAAAAAAATCATACTGTACAAATCTCCATTGTTTATAGTTCACCCAAAAAAAAAAAAAAAAAAAAAATTTAAAAAAACACACACTTTTTTTTTGTTTACTTTATTTATTTCATTTTTCTCATGTTTGTAATTACAACTTTGCCACCACACAAATTTGCAAACTTTTTTTTGGGAAAAAATAATTGAAAAGAAAAGAATACAATCCGTCGTTATCTGCACAGGATGAGCCAGAGAGCGTCTACCAACCAATCATAGACACGTGTTACAGTATCCGACACCGTCCGCCGGAAACTGACAAACATCGGCCGGAAAAATCCACCGGGAAAGCAAAGCCGGCGAGATGAAGAAGAAGGAGAAGTCGAAACAGTAGGCTGAAGGTACGCCCAAGCAGCCTGTTTAACCAAACGGTTTTTAATCGAAATCTCATACCCCGAACCACACGAAGAAGATGAAATTCCGGCGAGTGCGACGGCCGGAGTAGGTGAGAGAATGGAGGAAGGACTACTACACGGGAGAATATCTCTTAAAGAAGTGTAGTTATCCGATGATGGTAACGGCGGCGGCGACTTCAACGGAAAAAGCTCGAAATCCGCGGCGGAGAACGACGGCGGTAACGGCGGCGATCTGTTGGTGGTGTTGTGGTGATTTCCGTTTATTTGTTTGGGTTTACGAGGCGGAACGATGACGGCAGAAGGGAGACTGTTACGACGTTTGAGAGTAGTAATAGGATGATTATCATGTTGTTGTGGTTGATCTACCATTGGTAATAATGTTGGATTGAGCTAGAAAGAGCGTGTTAATGGAAATATGGAGGTTTATAGTTTAGTTTTAGAAAGAGAAAGAGAAAGAGAAAAAGAAAGTGGAATGATGAATAGTTGTTGTTATTAATGAGAAAATTGTAAAGATTTGTATGGAAAGATTAGAAGGGGAGAAATTAATGATTGACGTAAATTGTCACCATCCATTTGAAATTGGTTATTGGTGAATTGTGATGGGTTGTTTAGATGCAATATTTGGGTATTGGATGGTTTTTCCAGATGGTGTTTCCGTGTTTAGTGTTTTACTACTTCACTTTACTAACTCAATTGTGTATTTGTGTTTGTGAGTGGGATGTATGTAAATGCATTTGACTCACTCTTTCCAATTGAAGTCGTTAATATATGTCCAAAAGTCTAGTAATTTCGTCTTTAACTTTTGTTTTTCGTGGAATTAAACTAAGGGCTTGTTCTCATTGACTGAATTCAGCTGAACTGAGCTGAGCTGAACTAAACTGAATATTTTATAAGAGAAGAAAATTAAGAGCTGAACTGAGCTAAGATGAATTTCAACGTAAGAGAACAAGCCCTAAGTTTTTTTTTTTTTTTTTTAATTTATAAGTAATCATAGGGGGATCTTTTACCGGGGTCAAACTCCCCATAAATTATTGTAATTAATTAGTTAATAAACTTAGATAATCTATATTTACTAATAACATATTGGGGCATAGTGATTAGTTTTGAGTAAGAGGTAAAATATTTAAATCTCGGCCCCTTTAATATTTTCGGCCAAGATTCGCCACTGTAAGTAATTACTAATGTTATATGCAGCCCCAAGGTTTGTATATAAACATTTAATATACTTCTTTTTTTAGTATTAATTTAGAAATTTATTGACATTTCACGAGTAAATTAGTGTAATAATAAATGTTTATTTCCTGTCAATTCTTTTCATTTTAAGCTCTTACATGCCGTCCTAAATATTTGTCTTTTATTTATTTAATATTTTTACTTTTTTAAAACTCCTTGTCTATGCAAAATGATGTTGTATGTACATGTATGAGCATCATCATCCATTAATTAAATAACACACTACTTGTATAAAATAAGAAATGTGTAAAATAAGAAATTTTAAAAATTTATTATGAGTACTACATTGCATACCTGAAAAGGTAATATTTCTACAAAGTATTAATTTATATATGAAGCATTTTCCTTTTTTTTTTTTTGAAGAATATTTATGCATTTTCCTAAGCAATTGCCATTAAATATTTAACTTATTTACCCAAAATTAAGTGTGCAAATAGAGATGTATGGGTAGACATTAGAATTTCAATTTGGGATATGAGTTAAAGGAGAAGATGTAGAAAGAAAGTTATAGTATTAGTTATAAAATATAGTCAAAGTACTAATATGAATATATTAAAAAGTAATACGTATAATTTTATCTTAATTATAAACATACTAAGTACGAGTACTGGTATACTACAATCATGCACTTAAAATATTGGTTATTCAACCACCAAGTTGAATGTAGGTCCACGCTCAACTTTTTTCATTGATTATGAATAATTTAACAACTAATCCTAAAATTGATGTACGTTCCTAGTTTTGAAATTAAGGATCCTCTAATCTTAACATTGAAGTTCTTGTTGATACCCTTTTTTCTTCCATATTAGATAAAATAAAATTCTCAATTTATGATATTAATTAGATTAATATTTGTATATTGAATTAAGTATAGAGTATAATGTATCATGGTTTAAGTTAAATTTAGTACAATTGGTTGATCGTTTATGTAATACTACCTTTGTTTCGTATTAGTTGCAACTTTGGAATATTTTATATCTCACAAATAATACCCCAAAGTTGCAACTAATAAGAAACGGAGGTAGTAGACTTGTCTCAAATCAAAGGGTTAGCCGATTAGGTACTTTTGTTTCTATCCGTTATTATATGTACTCCGTATATTTTGATGTTCTTAAAAAATAAAAATCATATATGGAGTAACATAATTTGATGATAAGAGATTGTTTTTAAAACTTGAGGTTTGCTAATTGGTTGACTTGAAGAAAGTAAAATGCCAGCAGAGAATGTGATCAAAGGAATGCATTCAATGGAAAAACAAAGCCAAAGATTGCAAGGCATGCGAACACATGGACTAAGATTTGCACAAATAAAGGTATTTTTCTCAATCTTTTTTAGGTACTTTACCATTAATTATTAAGGAGTATGATTGGTAGAGTGCCATTAGTAGCCAACTGGATATTCTAAGGATTCTAAACAATCATAATTATAAAGAAAATAATATAAATTGCAACAAGAATTTCCTTGCAACAACTTTAAGTAAAAAATGATCCAACACTCACCACCTATATCATATATGACTGCATCAAGGTGCACGGAGTTGCATACACCACTAGCGTGCGCACTATATAAGTTCGCATGTGAGATTGTTATCTTGTGAGGTGTGCATGAATGAGAAGTGTAGTTGCGTAACAACCACACATATTGGCCCGTGCACCAAACAAACACAAGTACCAAACCACCTCACTTGATCACACAAACACCCAAAGACATAATGTGAGCTAACAGGCTAAAGGAAGGAACTCACGCACGCATTGTTTGTAATGGCCAATTTACTCGGGAAAGCAGACTGAGAAACAGAAATCATAGGGCATTAAACCACAGCGACATGGAAGGCTAGTGGGAAGTTGTTACAGGCAAAGATCACCTCACTGCAAATGGTGGTATAGTCCATATTGTTGTGGTAGATGCTTTGGGGTTGTTGTGGTGGAGGTTAACTTACTATGGGTTCTACCGGAAGTGCAACATCACAATGTACTCTTATTATACTTTTTAGCCTATTTACATGAGTTTGTTACCCAAAAACAAGATTATTTAAGTTAACATTGGTTGTACAGATGAAATCACGCAAACAAATGTCAAATATCTCACAGGATTAACCTTGCAGATAACCCAGAGACTATCGGAAAAAGATTCAGCTCTAAAAAACCACAAAAGCAGGATGCTATAGCGAGTGATGCACAACAGCAGTTTTCCTGATTTTTCCATACAGAACAGACTACTGCTCTGACAGTAAGAACCAAAATTTTTAGGAGTTACCAACAGAAAAAACTAAATAACATAACCAACACCACCAGCAGCTAACAAAAAGGAATTCAAAAACTAACAAAAGAACAAAACTACCCATGCTATGCTTATTCTCTCATGTAACAAACTCAAAACAAAAAGATAATATTCTCTCCTTTCCCAGCTCATATTCCTTTCTCTCTCTCTTATCTCAAGTTCTCAACAAATATCAGTTCCATGATTGATTCTAATAGCATCAATTTCCTTTCTAGTACACTAGCAGGATTTACCAAAGAGAAAAAACTCTATAAGATGATCAAGTTCCATAAATATCAGTTCCATGATTGATTCTAATAGCATCAATTTCCTTTCTAGTACACTAGCAGGATTTACCAAAGAGAAAAAACTCTATAAGATGATCAAGTTCCATAAATTTAAATTTTCAAGCAGTTTAATAGGAATAATTATAAAGCATCACATTCCGAGAACAACATGCTTCATATAGAACCACTACACCTCATTCTGCAAATTATTTCAACCCAGTACAGTCCTTAGATTCAACATAATCGATTTGTATGAAGCATCACAACTTCAGACCAAAATATCCATATGGAGCCAATCTTTCTCATTTTAAAATTTTTTTTGACATTTATTTCTTCCAGCATCTATAAGACTATAACATATCTCAAGATTCTCAACTTACCCAGGAATATCAACACGTTTACATGAGATACATGCTAGCTCTAACTGAGATATTGCACCTAAGTAACTAACCATAGACTAACTGAATACTATCTAAAGCATTGCCAAATGGAGAAGGAAAGCATTAAAATCCACCTCCATGACAAATTTCATGAAAGAAAAAGTTTTCTAACAGCCTGGTCTAGCAAAATGCAATGCAAAAGAAAGGAAATCGAGATAAAGGGCAGGTGTAGCATTCAGTTACTTTGGTGGTTAAAGACTGAGCTAGTATAGAACAGGAAACCCAACCAACTTCACGCGATGTTGAGTACCAAACAATAGTAATCAGTGTTTGTGAAATTGTTATATCATCCATCAACTTCTATACATTAAAATTGTTAGTATCAGCATAGTTCAAAGATGATAACACATTAACACTTGGCAAATTATAGCAGTAATCTTGGCATTTGGGACCAAAAACAACATAGAGCTGGAAAGAACATCATGTATTCATCTATAAACCTTGATATATTCACTTGATCATGTATGTTACAGTAGTTAAAACAATGAGCAATCTACATTGTATTAACAACAATAAATTCACAAGTCATTTGGTTTTTTGCAAACCCCACAAAGGGGAATTGCTCTTAGGCATAGAAGAATTACAACAAACATCCAATCGCTTTCGAAAATCCTCATCCTTCATCTTCAACATCAAAGGAAGAGGAAAACAAACACCCCTTTCTACACAACACTGATGCCTAGGCTTAATCCTCTTCTCTAAACTAAACGAAAAGTATTGAGGAAACTCCTTCAATTCCTTCAAATCCCTCCCCATTTCAACCACAAAGTAATTATATTTAGGCTCGAAATTATCCTTAACACTGTAACAAAACAATGCAGGAAATCTCCTAAACAAAGACACAGAATCATGATATGCAAAACCCACTTTCTCAAAATACTCAATTTTAGGCAAATATTTATCCTCAACAGAAGCTGAAAGAAGATCAGTATGCTTATATACCTCATGAATCCCAATGCTCTGGAGAAAATACAAGGTGGGTCGGAGCCGGGTTTCTACATCGGAGACGAGAAGGCGGGGACGACGGCAGATTACACGGGGGAGGTGATGAACTGGCACCTTGACTTCTCGGAGAAGGAAGGCGAAAACAGGGGCTGTGTTGTGGAGGCGAAGGGAGAGGATCTCAGGACACATGGTGGTGATACGGCGGAGATGCGGCGGAGAGAAGCCGAGAGAAGTGAGGTAATCGAAGAGGGTTTTGAGGTCGGAGAGAGAAGAAGCGGCGGCAATGGCGGAAGGAGGGAGGAGAGAGAGAGAGTCTAGTCCTATGGAGTCGAGGAAGAGGGTTTTTTCTTCGAATTCAGGGTCGGAGGAAGTGGGGAGGGTGGTTTTGGGGTGGGAGTTTGGGGTTGAGGAAGGTAAAGGTTGGATTTTGGGTGGTTTAAGAGGGTGGATTGTGGTGGTTTTGGAGGAAAAGGTGGGGAAAATGGTGGTTTTCCGGCGGAGGAAAGAAGGGGTTTTGGGGAGGAAGATGGGTTGGAGGAGTTTCCCGGTGGTGGAGGTGGCGGCGGAAGTGGTGGTGGGGAAATTGAGGGTGTCTTGCATTGTTGAAGTGGGGGTGGAATTACATGGTTGGGAAATGGAGAGAGTGTGTGAAGAAGAAGGGTGGTGTTTGTCTTTTAGGTGGGATTGAAAGAAAGAGAGGTGGAAAAGGTGTTAGGGGAGATTGCAGGTTATCTACAATCTAGAGCTATGGAGTTTCATCCAACTAAAGTGAAAGTAAACTAGTTCAATTTCCACTTCACCTCCCACGTATGAATTTTCACTCCTTCAATTTTCTTTTGCTTACTCGGTAAAAGACTAGTAGACACACAATAGTACTCTAAAGGATATGTTCTTGTATGATTATTTTCAGTTCAGTTCAGCTTAGCTCTAATAAGTTCAGTTCAGTTCAGCTCATAATTTTCTTCTCTTATAAAATATTCAATTCAGCTCTAATAACTTCAGTTCAATTCAGTCAATAAGAACAGACCCTAAGTCTTGAGACTGATGGCACTAGGTCAGGTCGACCTAAAACCCAGCATGCCCGGTATGTTATAGCATGCGTCAGGGTGTGGGTCGAGTCTAAGTCGCCTTTATTTGGGAGAAACACGATAAGGTACAACACAACCTAGCCTGGCACGACAAAGCATGCTAAAATCAATGAAATTTTGCTTAGGCACGCAAGTTCAGCACGTGACCTTGGCAGTACACAAGCCAACTTTTAAAAATTTTGGCCCAGCTAAGAACGACACGTAACTCGTGGAGTCGTGGGTCAAGCCAAGGAACAAACCTAACTAACCCCAAAGCACATGAGCCTAGCACGACCGATCTAGAGCGATTTTTACTCTTAAAGGGTCAAGGTGGCAATCAAATTATTTAAATTCAATTCAATTCGAGCAATGCATCAAATGTGTGGAGATTGATATTGTTGTAAAAAAAAGTTTGTGATTGTTCAGGTACAACTCTTTTCGTCATTTAACCACTATAGAGATATTTTAACAAAACACATACTACCTCCGTTATTGTTATGTGCAACTTTGGGATATTATTTGTGAGATATAAAAAAATTTCCAAGGTTGCACATAACATTTAACGGAGATAGTATATCATAAAGTTAATTAGAGAGCCAAATCAGGCAAGATTCGAGTCATTTGTCCGATAGATAGAGTTGACCGAGTCAAATTAACGTGCACTTTTTAGATCATATCTATGAGTTGAATCTAAATTAAGGTTAAATGGACATAAAATCAAGTTTTCAAGCTTGCATAACACTATTGAGCTAGGTTTGACCATGCTTTTGGGACATATTAAGGTTGGATGCAATTGATTATGTATAATGTATCATGGTATCAGAAATACTTCTCTCACATTTTGAAGGTTCAATATAGATGTGATGTCACAACAAAGTTCAATTCTACATCTACAATCAATTGCATCAAATTTTATTTGATTCCAACGCTACAACATCAAAAGCACCCCCCTCCTCTTAAATTAGGGGTGACAGTTTGGGTCAGCAGGTCGGGTCAAAAATAGTGTAAAACTTAATATTATTACGAAATATGAAACTTGGGTCAAATTCAGTCGAATTCGGGTTGTTCGGGTTTGGGTTTCTCTCAGTAACTTCGGGTCGGGTTATCGGGTCGGGTCAAGTCAGGGATTGTCAGGCCTACATGGCTACGTGACATAGTATTGTATTATAGAAGAGAGTTTTTATCAACACCAAAGATGATCGTAGTGGAACTGCGGATTAATATTAACGTGTGATAAATTAACATTACCTTTTTTATATAAAAAGAAATACCTTTAATATATTATTGTTCTTATTTGTAATTAAAATTGATGATTTATTCAAACAATCCTTATCACTAGATTAAATATTGTTTTTTTTTTTTTTTTGAAATAACTAGATCAAATATTGTTTGATAAAAACATATTCATATTTGTACATCTTTGAATTTATAAGAACTCGATTTCCTTAATTAGTCACTTATAAATAAACCTTTTTTTTTTAATAAAATAAAAATAAAATAACCTAATTTCCATTATTTTTTTTATTTTTTTTTTTGGTTTAATTAAAAAACGACAATTCCATCAATTTGTGGAGAGAAAAAGAAGTAGAGTGATAAGTGACCATTTTCTGGAAAGTCTAGAAAATACACTTTACTAAAAAAGAAAAAAAGACACATCATCACACACCAAATAACCAATCTTCCATTTCCACACACTGAAACAGTCTACTTATCCACTCTCCCACCAACCTTTCTCCTCACACCATTCATATAATCTCACTTCAATTTCACACCCAGAAATTCGAGGAGAGAGAAACTCAACCTTCATCAACAATGGCGTCTGCAGCTTCATCCTCTGCTATTCTCTCTTCTAATCCTAGGGTTTTCGCCCCTAAATCTCATGCTCCAATGGCGGCTGCTTCCGTTTCTTCTCTCCCTAAACCTTTCTCCCAAACCCTAACTCTTTCTTCCACCTTCAATGGCAAATCCTTCCAACCTCCTCGCTCTTTGTCTTCTCGCCGCACTCAATCTTCCAGACGCAGCTTCGTCGTTCGCGCTTCTGTATGTCACTTTTTCTTCATTTCAATTCATTCATTCATTCTTCATTTTTTCAATTAATTTTGTAAATTTATAATGATTACTGTATTGTATATTCATCATTTTGATTGGAAAAACTGCTGATTTGAATGTTGCTCTTAATATCTTGAATTCGGTTTAATTGACGAATAATTGATAGACTGTAGATTGTAGGTTGAACTGCATTGTTAATGTGTAATAAGTATCAAATTATCACTATACATTTGTGTAAATTGGAAATAAAATGAGGTGAATTGACAGCGGGTGATTCTGGAATTATGAATGTGAAGTTTGAAGCCTTTTGTAATCTTTGATTATGAAAAAGTAACATTATATTTAAATTGTGTGGTCAATCTATTGATTATAATCGATATAAAGTCAAGAAGTGTTACTTTTTTTGTTGTAAGATAATACATTTTGGCATAATGTTATGGCATAAGATAGTTAATTTTGCGACGTAATTGTAATGTGGCCTATTATATTGGAATGGAGGTAGTAATTATTCTTGTTAGTCCCTTTTACACATTACGCTATGATTATTGGGGTACTGACTGTTGTGTGGCAGTTATCATATGATTCAAGCATCAATGTTGGCTATAACTTGACCCTTTTTTTTCTGTCTTTTTTTTTCAGGCTGACCTCCCCTTAGTTGGAAACGTTGCGCCAGACTTTGAGGCGGAGGCTGTTTTCGACCAAGAATTCATCAATGTAATTTTCGCACAGACAAATTTATTACAATAGTTGCATATATTACAAACATGCTTCACCCATCCGATTTTTGATTACTTTGTTTTATGAGTACTAGTTCCAGTCAGAAAAGTTGGAAAAGGGTTGGAATCTGATTGTTTTAACTTTCTTGCAGGTTAAACTTTCTGATTACAGGGGAAAGAAATATGTAATTTTGTTTTTCTATCCTTTGGACTTTACATTTGTTTGTCCTACTGGTTAGTACTCTGAATCTAAAAGGCTAGTTGATGTTTATAGTTTCCAAATTAGTTCCTTACACCCTTTGCTTCCCTTTTTGTTTTTGTAGAAATCACTGCTTTCAGTGACCGTCATGCAGAATTTGAGAAGTTGAACACCGAAATTCTAGGTGTTTCCGTTGACAGTGTTGTAAGTATCTCTCGTCTTTCTCATTTTTTTCATTTGCTACCATCTTTTGCTGAGTTACAGTTGCTCATTGGTTGTGGCTTGCTTACATTGTTCTCATCTGTAATGTATTTTGTGCTCATCTGTAATGTCTTTTGTGCTCAGCTAAAAAATCCAAATTTAGTAGGAAACTATATTAGTTTCTCTGATTCTCTTCACCGTCTCTCCTGTGGTTCTACCCTCTTATTTATTGATTGTGCTTTTTACATGCAGCCTACACTTTTTATTCTGTTAATTTTTGGTTGCCAAAAATGTCTTTGTTGATGAGTGGTGACCAAAAAAGGATGAAAAGGGGGACAAGGGGCACATGAAAATATGACATTCCTTTTTTGCAAGAAATAAATGGCGGATACTTCAATGTGGTAGTCATGGAGGACCAAAAAACAACCTTTACTAACATGGATGATAATTCTATGAAGATTTCTGTTAATAGTTATGATTGTAACAGAAGATTTGTTGTACTATACTATAATGCACAAGAACATTAGAGAAATGAAATTAATGAAAAAGGTAGGGAGAGCTGGGGCCTGGGAGGGTGGAGAGTCAGGAGACTACAAATTGATGTTAGTTTCTATTGAAATGGAAACCTCTCTACACCATACAACTATGAAAAGACTAGTGGTTTCAAAAAATTATTGCTACCGAAGAACGACTGTGGGCAACATTAGCAAGTTCTACTTTAGGTTTATCCCATGAAGGCTCTTCGCTTTATTTGCGGACAGGAATTTAAGTTTTGTCAAATGATGATCTAGAGCCCAAATTATTTTTATCTGGTGATTTAGTTAGGAGTTATGGGAAAATAGCATGTAATTTGCAGTATTCATTATTTGGATGGCGATGGGGCTTTGGTTAAGCAGTTACCTTAAGCCATACTTTCTTAATCAACTCAACTAAATCTGACCGCCCTATCAAATGCATAAATTATACATACATTGGTAAAGGGAATGTGAATTAGCGTCACACTGCCCTTCTGCACTTCATCTGTGAATTAGGAGTGCCAAAAGATAGTCTGGAGTGTCTATAACCTTTGGTATGTATACTGTCTTTATCTAAGTGGACCAAGCCTATTTGGATGACCTTTTGGGAGTCAATGGAGGATATCCTCTAGGAAATATTTCTAAGTAACAAAGAATAAATTACAATGAACTTGAGAAAAAGCATGTGGGCCAATTGCCTTGAAGGAGCACCCGGAATCACATCAATAATTTGGATTATATGGGACACTTTCAGATTGCCTTCCTGAATAATACTTTTGCTATCTAAATTATAATTGAGTTGAGCTAAATTCTGTACTGTTTTGGTGTGCAACAGCACAGCATTATGTGCTGTAGTCAATATATCTGTCAACTTGAACATTTCCCAATTATTTACTTCTCTTGCTAGTGGGGTCATTGTCAATGGGAGGTAGGGATGAGGCTGATGCAAATATTCACTTCTCTATGTGAGCTGTAGTGCATTTTTTTTGGCAGAGCAGTCTCTAACTGCCTAATTTTGGAATGTTGGGGGTCTTGAGGCTTTATATTTAGGCAAATTTTTTACAAAAATTCATGGCATAAGGTGGATTTTGTTGTTGTGAATTTTCTGCATAGCCTGATTTTTTATAATATCACTTCACAGCGTAGCTTGAAAACTCTCTTCAATCTATCTGGATTTTGCCCTTGAATGTTAACCCCGCAATTAATTTGACTTTATCTCTTGGCTTTTCTATTGAGTAGATATTAACTTAATTCAAAATAGTTTTCATTGTGATTATTTTCCTTTAACTTTTATTGTGGGACAACATTATAATTCATGGAACATGCATTAAACCGTATTCCATGAACCATACCCAAGGCATTACACCAAAATTACTAATTACAAGTAAAGACGATATAAAGTACCAAGTACCAACCAATTTATTCACAAGGTTTATGTACACATTTCCATGTCAGATATCCTTTCCATATAGTATGTTCTGATTGTAACATTTTTAGCACTTTCCTCAATTCTGTATTAGTTTATCCATGTAATGGTTGATATAATTGTTTATTGTGCAGTTCTCACATCTCGCATGGGTCCAAACAGATAGGAAGTCTGGTGGTTTGGGTGATTTGAATTATCCCTTGGTTTCTGATGTCACCAAGTCTATCTCAAAGGCTTTCAATGTTCTGATCCCAGACCAGGTATGCATGAATCACTTTTATTGTTGGAATGGTAACACTCGGCTTCTCGGTTTTCTGGCTTCAACCATTAAATAATGTATTTGGTAGTCTTTCACAATTTCACACATTTGCTAAACTTGTAGTCTTTCACAATTTCACACATTTGCTAAACTGTTAAAGTAGTATAAGTAGAGTCTGGCGCTCATTTGCAGTCTTTTCTTGTAGTAATAGTGTAATACCAACATTCCCTGAAATTCATGAGGAGTGAGCTTAATAAGTACATGTGTTCAGCAGCTTCAGTCATTGATGGATGTTAATTAAATTTTTAATCTTGGACCTTCAAATGCATAAATATACAGTTATAGTGTTAATATTTCTGTTTATTTGATTCATCTTTTGTTCAAATTTACCAGGGAATTGCATTGAGAGGATTGTTCATCATTGACAAGGAAGGAGTCATTCAACATTCAACCATCAACAATCTTGCTATTGGTCGTAGTGTTGATGAGACTCTGAGAACACTCCAGGTATATAAATCTCAAATTGCCACCCCGTACTTATCCTTTCACTGGATTGGAGAAATGTTGAGTAGTGTTGTGATTCATCTCTCTTAAACTGGTTTTGCAGGCATTGCAGTATGTGCAGGAGAACCCTGATGAAGTCTGCCCCGCAGGGTGGAAGCCTGGGGAGAAATCAATGAAGCCAGACCCCAAGCTTAGCAAGGAGTACTTTGCTGCCATTTAAGGAACACGATTGACTCTGCATCACATAGGAAGTCCTGAATTTTTGTTTTCTGTATCATGATCTGTAATCTTTTGCGAAATTTGAGCTGATTCTAGGGAATAAATGTCAACAATTTATCTATGTATCGCTTTTGTAGCAGATCCAATTGTAATGGTTTAAACTATTATCATTGAGCTATTTGGATTGTGTGCTTTGTTGTAGCTAGCAGTACAACGGAAAATTGTTTATTAGAAGCACTGCAAATTGCTCAACTTTGAGCATCGTTTTAGTATGCATATCAACCTCTCCTTAGTCATGGTGATTTCAGAATTCTTAGTATTTTATTATACTGTCAAAGCGTTATTTGAATAGGATTCCACCTATTCTGATACATATACTGATAATGGTCATTTATAATTAGCACACCCGTAGTTATTAGTGGGTGTTAATGGGTTAGTGGGCTTATCCACATTACAATCAAATACTACATCAAGGCCTTTTACTCTGAATCCTTATTGCATCCCCAAAATCCAATAAAATGCTTTGATGGAAACGATTTTCTAGGAGATGATTTCTAATTTTCCACTATTGTTTGTCAAGGGTGGGAAATAGTTTTTCAAATAGGGGAAAACATTTTCCATTTGAAATTGAAGTAATACCACTTTTTTTTTTTGTTTCCTTCATTATTCTTAACGTTGCTTTTCTCATCTCATCCATTTTCTTGGTTCTACTCCTATATTAGTTCGTGTCCGATGATATGTCCAATTGTTATACACATACGGAGTAACAAATAATGAAATAAGGAAGTGGTTGATTTAACATTACATATAAGTAAATTGGATGGGTTGTATCTCTCAAAAAAAAAAAAAAAAAAAAAAAAAAAAAAAAAAAAGGATGGGTTGTATAAAACTTTGCCAAATTCACGTCCAACTTAGTATTTTTTTGGACGGGAGTCCAAGTCCGCGATCCAAATACATTTTTTTGAGTCCAAATTCAATCCACTTGGGTGTATATTTTTTAAAAACTATTAATGGGGAAAAAACACAATGAAGTTCACAAAACTTGACCAGTTGATCACTTGATCCTATAAAAGGAAATGATACAAGTTATACAAATAAAAATGCGGAGGAAATATCATGTAGTTTGAAAAACCGTTGTTAATACGAGAACGTGACTATTTTTCCGAACATCAGAAAAATAGTATGATATTATCTCAGTCTGGTTATAATTGATTTGAGTAAATTTTGCACACTATCACCCATAAACTATGAATTAGTTTTGGTTGCATTAAGAAGCACAAAAGCTTAAATATGAGAGAGACATGAAAAAATTTGTAAGCCAAGTTAATTTATAATACAATATTCTTGACTCTATTACTTGTTGCTAAATGGCTAAAATGGCTAAGAGCCAGAGATACAATTTAAATAAAGCTGAGATTGTTAAATATTAATCCTAAACTTACAACAAAAGTTTGCCACAATTTACATTTGATCAATCTACAACATCACAATATGATGAAGCATAAAAAAGTGGCAAAAAGTTTGGATAATTCAAAATTAAATTTATACATCCAGAGATTGACCAAGTAACTAATAGTTTAGGCTAATTTTTTTGCTTCATTTTTTCCATTGATTTTTGTTAAAACCATTCGTTTTCCGGTCACGTATACAACCAAAATGGGGTGGTCAATTCATTTGTCTAAGTACCAAAAAACCAGAGGCCCCTTTTCCTTCCTATACTAAACATTAGATTACCCCATATATCAGCATCACATATCACTGTACTTTTGTGTATGCTATAGGCCGAGGCCCCCCCAAAATTCCGAAAACCAGCAGCAGCACACATGAGCACGGTTATGTTGTGACGCCCGATTCAGAGACATAATTAGGCCTCTCCACTTCCTCCCAGATCAACTTAGACGACAATTCATCGATCTCGGGGACATACTCCTGCTAGCCCAAAGAGTACAGAATTATTATGTGGAGTAATTAGCAAGATTGCTAACTTCGATAATGCATAGGACTAATTAATTAATCAATTCTAGCTACCCTAAGTGTTGATATATTAAAGACAAAAATTTGATACATTCCTTCCCTTGATTATTATATGAAAACAGCATACTTTCGTGCATCCCCGCGACCAGACAATAGCGAGTTTAACAGTTCTAAATATGTTTATATTTCGGTCTGTCAATTAAACTGTCTTACTATTGGTGTAATTATTGGATATTGATTAATTACCTCAAGCTTTCTAAACAATTCTTTGGCTGTTGGGGCTGACACAATGATCCCACGAGACGTTGGAGAGATAAAGCCTTCATCAACGGCCTTATCGATAAAAGATAATAAGCAATTGTAGTACCCATCCACATTCAACAGACCCACCTGTATTATAAAAACAACAAATTGCACAACTTCAATCAATAGATACTAACCATGCTTTTCAATTATATTCTTATTACGATCGATGTTGTCACGACATACATCAATTAATAAAAATGTTTTTAATATGTCGTGTGAGATGGAAGGAGTTCTTAGATCACACGCAATTGAAAATTCGTCGAAAAAAATCTGATTCCCTGAGGGAGATACCCTCAGGAAACCTCTCAATAATGATGCACCATGACTATGTAACAGCATAAAATCTTCTTAGCATGTTTCCATGTGAACTCACCCAAAGAATCACATGCAATTTCCATTATTATCTATCCTCATCAAATCTCCTATTTGATCAAATCTTCATTAAATCTGTTATTTATTTCGATTATTTAAGCATTTATACATAATCAGTCGTATAGTCCGTAGATGTCATGGCAAAGGAAGATGTTGACTACTATGCTTTAGTACAAAAAATTATGATGATAGTCCACAACGAGCATTCAAAAAACAATCTCATATTAAAGCTTGGTCAAAAGATGGAAAGGAATCATTCTTTTAACGGAAAGCCAACAATCCAACCGTCGTAATCCATTACACACTTGTTGGTTGTTTCATACTCTAGGGACATTTACACATCAAAAGCTTGATTGGTAGTTGGTCTCTCCATAACCCATGCATAAAAACATCTTCATTTTTTTTACCTCTGGCCTACATCTTTTGGTGTCTACTAATTGTTTCTATTCGCGAAAAGAGAGGATAATTTACACACGTCGTTTTTTAAATAAAAGAGCATTTCAGATAAAAGTAGGATTCATACAGGTTTTCGGTGTATTCCTAGCTGAGCGTAAGTGATGACTTCTAGAAGTTCTTCAAGAGTGCCGTAACCACCTGATCATACACGGAATGAACACGTTAATTTAATTATCATTTAATAATCAAATCAAATAAAGTAAAGCCCGTATGATATCATCAATCCAAGGCCTATCCATGTTAAGCTTAGTTAGACTAACACGAAAAACATACCAGGTAATGCAATGAATGCATCAGCTTGTTTAGCCATTTCAGCCTTCCTCTGGTGCATGTTTGATACAGTTTTCACTTCCCCAACGGTTTCACCAGTTATCTGCCCAGTAAAATTTTACGTTAAGAAAAGCTATCATCAATATTCAACAACACCACAATGCAAACTAATTCCAAGTAATTTTGACAGGATCAAACTGCTTGTATGTTGATTAATAACAAAAACCGTATCATATTCTTATTATATTACTTAACCAAACTATTTTTGTTACAGGTTTTTTAAAGATTAAGTAATTAGTGGGTCCACTTTGATCCACAAAAGATAATTAGCACCGAAGAGTTTATAATAATAAAGAGAAACTCAAGTGTATGAATGTTTTGACTAACAACATGGAGATAGTACAAGCTGACTTTTGCTTTAGAGCTAATAAGAGGCAAAGAAAGCAACACATGTATGGAAAGCCAAGAATGTAGCCTTTATTTTTCCAAACGACGATGACTAGCCTACGTAAGCAGAACAACTTAAAGAATATCCCTTTATTATAAAACACTAAGCTAACCACCCTAGCTATAATGAGAATGAGATTATTACCTCTTTAGAAACAAGGCTCTTTGGAATGACCCTGCAAGTTAAAAACAACCACCAAAAGCAAAAAGTAAGTTAACTGATTTGTTGGCACGTCAAACTTCTAAACGGAATCATTATGATCTAATTAGCTTTAATTAATATTCAACAAAGATGTTCAAACATTCAAATAACATACACGTCAAAGCATTTGAGTGCATTTGATTGATCTTTACAATAAGATAGTAGATAAAATATAGATTAGCTTAGACCACAAAGTTAATAACAGAAACTACAAGGCACTATTGTTTAAAGTAAACAAGAAAAGAAGCCATCAACAAGAAAAGTAGCCATCGAAAATTTATCAATAATCTGCTCACCATCTCCTTTAACAAAATACATCTAATGGTTTAAAATAACAGATTTAGACATCCATGAAAGTATATTTATTGAACTTATGCTCATAAAAATAAATACGAGTCATAATCACCTCATCTAAGAGATACGCAAAATCATTTAATCTCGAGCTTTACTCCCCGTCCCTTATTTTTTGCCCCATATGATTCAAAAAGCTCTCACAAACAAGTGAGCCATGGAGCAAACAAAAAAGAACTGAGGAAGTAGGTACAGTTCTCATTGAAACTGGTAGGTAAAAGAATGGTGCAAAGGCATGTAGCTTAGGTTAGGTTCTTTGAACTAAAAGATGAAGAAATTTTACTAGCTAGTAGGATAAGGTTAACACAGTGGCAAAATCAAAGATCCAAGAAAAGGGGGAGTATGTCATAAAAATCAAAGCTTAAAAATAATATGACAAATGTATTTGCAGAGTAAAAAGTTAATCCTTCTACCAAACCTTTTCATGTCAAAAAAATGTGTATGGGAATAAGGAGAGTTCCTGTAAAATAGCCTGACATGGGCAAAACCCAATGGATTCAACTTTACTTTTCCCATCTGATCCAGATCAAACTAAAAGGGTATAACAACTTTTGTACCAGTCATTTTGTAAATACTTAATTCATGTAACACATACAATCAAACTCTTCCTTTTTTCTTGTATGGGTAAAACATTCCTCACATATCTCAAGAAACTTTATTTTATGTGTTTTTTTGGTAATACAAAGTTTTCTTCTTTAGATATAAATCCCAAAATGAACTCAACTTTCAAGGGTGGTCATATTGTCTAAGCGAACATTCTTTAAGTGCTCCAATATTATATAACACGCAAATATATTTAAAACCATCATAACTTTTTAGGCTATGTTATCGAGATTTGGATACCAATATTCAACACGCGTACATGTTTTAAGTATCTAACTTAACCATTTTTATTGTCCAATGATCTGACATGGGCACTTGATGTGAAATGATGAGTCAAGTCTAGCATAAGAGCACAGAGTTCTTAGAAGCTCAATAAAAATAGTTTTTGCATGGTCTAGGATGAAGAGAAGTTTAGTGATACCCCCACACCCCACTTCATAGAAGAAGAAGAAGCAAAGAAAAGGGACAATTATGAAGGGGGCAGGCAGAGCAATGATGTTGCTAGACTTTGAAAACTTAGCACATAATCTTTAATTGGTTGACATATCCATTTACAACTCAATAAACAACACATACTAGCATACTACTCCTAGATAAGTAGATAGTCTCCTAGTACTAGTAGTAGTAATTTTTAGAAAGAGAAAGAAGAGAGAGAAAGTAAGGAACATACCCTAGAACATGGCGCCCACCATCATGAGCTGCCTGAGAAACAAGACCCATCAGACCCACGCTGCCACCTCCATACACCAAATCAATCCTTCTCTCCACCTTCAACACAAATACACACATCCAAAGGTAAATTAAAAATTTATAAAAATTAAAATATTTAATATTGAGAACAAATCAAATTAGTTCATATTGGACACGTGTCAGAAACCCACAACTCACACAACCTCATTAAATAAAAAAGAAAAACAAAGACAATTAAATAATCATGATTGTGAACCATATGCCTAATCTATAACAAGTTTATTATATATAGATTTTATTAAAATAATTTTATAAATGTATAATATTAGTAATGTATAATTGATTTTCATGGCCATAAAAACAAAAAATATGGATTTTAAAATTTAAATTAATTTCATTTGTTGGTGGAAAATTAATGGAAGTAATTGAAACCCCATATGTCACCACCCCACGCTTTTATGGGTCATGATATCCAACAAGCACGTTTGTTTCCCTTGAGAGCACCAAGGGAAAATCATAAAGTTTTAATCTTTTTAATTTCATTACCAATATTTTTTCGAGTATTGCTAAACGTAGCCCTAAAAATGTACCAGTCAAGAATTTATGATAAAATCACACGTAAATTGCTTCCTTTGTGAAATTGAACGTCTACTATGTGCCTATATCTTATAATTGAACACTTTAACATGTAATTTGCTTCTCTCTTCTCTAATTAATTATGTTTAATGAACATAAATATAAAATCAAAAACTCTAGGAAATTAAGGGGGAAGAAAATGGGGGGAAAGAGGGATCATGCAAGAAGGCTGTTCCACTGACAGACAGATTACAGCTTGCAATAATTTTCTCTCTCATGTCAAAATTAACCTTTAATCTTCCTCCATTTTCACCAAATTATTACAACAACTTTACACAATTTTCAAATTTAGAAACAAAAAAGATTAGTGTAAAATAATAGGGTTTAAAGTGGGTAAACCAGAAAAAGTTACAATTTTGCACTCATTATCGCTCAACTTAAATACCCCATCAATTTTTTTTCATAAAAATGCTGTCTTTTTCACTGTCATTTTCACAGATTTTTGTGCAAATGTTGCATAATACAGAGCATATAAGAATACCCAGAAAGATTATTCAACTGCATTACAAATCAGACCTTCTGGGATTATAAATTTACCCAAAAAAAATAGTTTATCTTTTCCAAAGATGCAATTTTTTAGTTTCTTAATGCAATAATTCAGAAAATATATAGCAAAAAAAAACAGGGGATATTGGAATTTAGTAATAAAATTATTACCAGTTCATTGCCAAGCTCAACAGCAGCTTCTTGGTAGCTCAATTTCTTGCCGGAACTGCTTCCACAAAACACACAAACCCTCTTGAATTTTGACGGCTTTGTCTGTTCCATTTTTTTTTAATTTAATTTAATTTTCTCTCTCCTAAAAAAATGTACAAATAAAATTATAAAATTCAGAGAGTTTTGGAAGAAAAAGTTGAGAGAGAATAATGTAAGAGAAGAATGAGAACAAAAGTTGGGATATGTTTGCATATGCGATGTTCTCCTATAAATATAAACCCACCGGTCCACCCGGGTAACGCCTCTACCAAGTAACCATTTTTTAATGTCTTATTAATTTTTTTTTTTTTTTTTTTTTTTTGTTTTCTTTTGTTGTTCTCACTACAATGTCTTATTAATTTAACGTTATATATCTTTACTTCCTTTGTTTCTATTTAGTTGACGCGTTTGATTTTGATACATATATTAAAAAGAAGAGAGAGTGAAAGAGAATGTAAAAGAAAGTGTGGTAGCTTGTAAATACAAGGTAAAAAATTTACCCCAAAACAAAACGTGTCAACTAAAAAAAACTTCCTAAAAAGAAAGACGTGTTAACTAAAAAGAAACGGAGGTACGGAGTAGTATATAATTTTATTACTACCTCTGTTACAGGTTACGTGCAACGATTAGATATTTTTCTTTTCTTCTTTATGTCAAATCGTTGCACATAACATAACATGTTTACTATTAACCTTTTTATGTTATGGGGTAATAAGATTTGTTATGTTTAAATATGTGATGTTGATGTTTGCTTTTGAATTTTTGGTCAAAGGACTTAGAAGGTTAACTTTGATATAATTGGGTCCCATAATGACTATATATGCTATGTCCAAGTGCAATACAATTAGAAAATTATTTAATTTTTAGAAAATGAAATGATTGTGAATGGAATCGTTTACCATCTTTGATGGCTTGGTGGTTACATACTACGAGTAGTGAGAAAAGAAATTTAATTATGTGATTATAACTTATAAATGGTTTTCCTTGTGAGAAATTAACTTCTATATAAAACCAATTATTAAAATTAGATTGTATGAAGCTATTTTGTAAAATATTAATAAAATATACGTGTTCCATATTTGTTATTTTCATGTTAGAAGTTTAGAAAATATAATACAAACTGATCGATGTTGACTATTACATACGATCATGTTCTTTTGAGCTTTTGGGCAGAGTAGTGTTAGCAAAACGACATCTTTCAACACTACAGAGCATAGCAGAGCAAATTTCAGTATAGTATATAACATTATTAAGGCTTAGCTTAGGATTTGTTCTCTTCAACTTATTTCAGATACTTATTTCTTAATAAATTCATATTAGATTAGAAAATATTCAGATCAGACCAGATCAGAACTTTTGATTATCATTTACTTATTGCTAAATATCGTTAATTGCATATTAAATTTTTTTATAAAAATTACATATTTAAAAAGTTCATAATAAGACGAATCTAACAAGATCCATTTTGATTATATTTTTCTTTATAGATTAGTATTAAAATGCGGTCAAAGTTTATTAAATTGTTAAATCAAATCATAAAAATTCAAATCAGACTTTAAAAAATTCAGATCAGATTTACTTGTTTCAGGTGAATAGAACAAGTCCTTAGCGGCTCAAAAGAATAAAGTCGTACTGTAGTATTACGTGATCATCCATTTTGATATTTCTTTAACTTTTTTGCCTTTTGGTACAAGTATATACAAGTATTAATTTAGCCCCTCCCCTTTGCACCCACAAGACTACATCCTTGTGTTTCTCCATCATATTTGCATTATTAGATTTCATTCTCATATTGTTACCCTATAAAGTATAAACCGTGTTCTTAGATCTTTCATCAACACTTCAACGGTCAATAAAATGCACTTCATAATATCATACTAAGGGCATGTTCACTTCAGCTTAATTTCAGTACAGTTCAGTTCAGCTTCTAGTTATCGTCTCTCATAAAATATTCATCTCAGCTCTATTCAGTTCAGTTCCAATCATTTTCAATTCAGTTTAGCTCAATTCACTAAATATGTACATGCCCTAACTTTAAATAACAATTTATTTTTTATTTTTTAACATTACAGATACGTCAATGAATCAACTAGTAACATCAATTTCACCTACTTTTGCTAGTAAATCGTTTTGTATTTATGAAAACTCATTTTTACTAATTGAAACATAGCCTTAAGCCCTTAATTGATTAAGATTGAGTGTTATGACCATTAGAGATATTTTCATACTTAAACCAAGGAGAGAAGAAACTTATTAAGAGTAACAAATAGAAAAAAGACAAAATGGACAATCCACTGATTTTATGCTCACAAATAGAATTAAGAAAATGTGGAATGATGTAAAGGACAATTAAGGGGTGGATAATCGTTTGTGCCTAAGTTTTTCAGAGCACAACAACGTTGAGTTTAATTGGTGATACATACACGTGGAGTGTTAGGCTAGAAAGTGTAACCAAGTTGTGCACCAAACAACCAAAAATATTAATGGTGTCCAAAAACAAATCATCATCATTTCTTTCATTTCAATATTTCTTATCGATTGCATTTGCATGCTCTTTTGAGTCTTTTCCCATTACTTAGTAGCTTACATGGCTTAGTATAAATTTGATTAAAATGTCTTTTCTCCCTTTGATAGTATCATGTTGTCATCAAAACATTCGACATCTTTTGAAGGCTTTTATCTACTTAATCCATTCACGTCCTTAAAACTATAGAGAAAAGATAAGGTAATTCTTATCATACGAATTGATACTTACCGGGTCCTGTCCACAATAAATTATTATACACTTAAAATTTAATACTATCAAATAGTATAGTCATATTCTAAATAATATAATTATTTTTTAAGATGATATAATTTTCTTGTTGTGAGTCATATTTTAAATGATTAATCGTATTAAACAATTTAGTGACATGATATAATTATTTTTTGAATGACAAGGGTATAATCGTCACTACACTGTAGAATTGAAATAGTAACACACTTCTGGTTTTTAAAAGGGTAGAGATTTAATTACCGTTTGATTCTTTTTTTTCATGATAAATTCACTTTTTAAATAATACATTTACATAATCCGTTTTTGGATGATATAACTACTTTTGTAACGATATAATCACATTTTTTATGATATATTAGATGGTTGGGTGTACAATAAGTTATTATGCATCGGGTCTATTTTAGACTTTACCCTTACATAGTATATTTATTTGAGTACACATGAAATTAATCAACAACTATCTTTAATTATTTGAGTACACATGAAATTAATTATCTCTACTTATTTACTCTATTCTCTCTTTTTAAAAAAAAAACTTAGCCTCCATTATTCTTGATTTTTGAAGGGAAGCCCCAGCCTTTGTTTTTTCACTTTTTTTTTTTTTTTGGTTTATAATAGTGATTTCTCCCTCAAAAGAAAGGGTTTTGATCGCTTTCGAAAGACAAGGTTTTTCAATCTCCCTCGAAAGATATGATTTTTCTCCTATTTTGAGGGGCAAATTTTTTAGCTTAAAATCTAGGATAATAGATCTGATGGATTGCCTTGAAATTGTTTCGTTGATGAAAAATTATCTAGGGTTGCAAAGGTTTTCAATTTTTCGAATACGGTTAAATGATTCGATAGAAACCATCCTTGCGATTACAAGGGATTGTCTTTCCAACAAGACTGTATTTTTCAGCGATATAAGCGGGAGATGTTCCACATTGTAAGATCCAATTTGAATGAGTAAATAGGAAGTAAGCTAATTTAAATGAGCATGAGATAACCTTAAATGGATATTCAACTCCCAAGATATTTAAAGGTCATATCACACACTTATTGCTAAAAATATTGTTGGGTAAATAATGGAGGTTTTTGAACTATCTAGAATTGTAGCTAAATATTTGTATAAATTATATGATAGTCATTCTTAAAATGACTATCATTATGGTCTGTTCACATCACCTTAATTTAAGTTTAATTTTGTTCAGTTCTTAATTTACTTTTCTCATAAAATATTTTGTTCACTTTAGTTCAGCTTCAATCAGTTCAATTCAATTCAGCTTAGTTTAGTAAATGTGAACAGACCCTTATACTAATTTTTTATTGGCCAATTTTAATTTTTTTTTATGTCAAATTAACTAAAATGTTATTACTTTTAAGGAAAATTTGACATTTACTACCACTAAAATGACCCTCTTTTACATTTACTACCTGTTTTAAATTTTATTTTATTTTACTACCACCCGAATCCCATATTGTTATTTATCACCATCTCTTGCATTATACCGTTACTGTTCCGTTAGGGAGCCTAGCCACCCTCACTGCCACCGTACAACCACTTCTACTCCTTAACCACTCTCACTCCTCTCCCCGTTCTGGCGCCTAAACCAGTGACATCATCGCCACTCCTAGCCCCTCTTCGCCGTCCTTATCTCTCCTCTGCACCGTCCATATTGGCTATGGTGGTCGAATTTGGCGCTTGAATCATCAATTTCACCATCTTTTATCAAGAAATTAGCACAATTCACAAATTAAAAATCAACAAAACTTGTAGAAAAATAATAGAGCAACAACCTTTAGCTTTGGAAGCGATTCAAGAATCACGGATCGACGACGACGGAAGACGGCGAAGATTCAAGGATCTCGCCGGAATAACATCAGATTGTAGAAGAAGAAGAAGACGATTTTTGCGAAGTTGAGGCCATTGAAGAGGATTAGAGATCCCTGTGTAATAGTAATAGTAATTACCGAGTAGGATTGCCGATTTTCGATGGTTTGGGCGGTGCGATGGTGGAGCAACTGATATGTGGAGGTCGATTTGGGTTGTTTGTGATTGATTGGGTGGTGCTGCTGCTGTTATTGTCGTGTTGGTTGGGTGCTAGTGTTGGTGTTTGCTTGAGGTGGCTTTGAACAGGGGAGGTGACTCAGGTGAGGGTGATGTCGTTGAAATTGTGTGGTGATGGTGGTTGGTTTGAGGTGCTGTGCGGCTGCTTGGTGGGCAGGTATAGGGAGGGGGGAGGGTGGCTGAGAAGATGGGCCCACTTAACGGATTCTGTTAAGTGGTAGTGATATTTAACAGTGTGGGATTTAGATGGTAGTAAAATAAAATAAAATTTTAAACAGGTAATAAATGTGAAAGAGGGTCATTTTAGTGGTAGCAAATCTCAAAATTTCCTTATTTTTTTTAACATTTTATAATTAATTTCAGTAATAATAAAAACTGTTTTTTTTTTTTTTTTTTTTTAACTAACTCACCAAATGCCACACATCATCTAATAGATTGAGTGTTGACCAAAATCACTTGAAAATTTATGGCAAATTAGAACAGTG